CTGTACTTTCCAACTTCCCTACAATAAGAAATTATTACAACCAAAAGAAACAGCACTAAATATTATTTTAAAATTATGCAAACAATTTGAAGGGTTAGGAATGAAAGGAGGATAATTTAAGGATGAAATATATTCCTAATGGCTGTTTTATTTGAAATCTTCCACTTATAGTGGATTCAAGGATCATTCATGAAAACATTGCAGAAAAAGAGAGAGTCCAACAAATAACTCAAGAAACGTTTGGAGATTATCCTCAACCACGACTAGAATTTGCACAATATAAGGTAAGACATAGTAATAAATATTAACTATTGAATATTAAGACATCAACATTGTTTAAAAAGAACGAAAACCTTAAGTGAAAAACAAATCTAAGAAACTTCCTCTTTCATGTATCACTTCAATTCATGTAATAAATTTATGAATTAAATAGACCTCTTTATTGTATTTATAAGTTCTTCTGTTAGCATAGGAGATCTTTATAAATTATGAATTTGAGCCAGGTGTGGTAGCTCATGCCTGTAATTTCAGCACTTTGGGAGTCCAAGGTGGGTGGATCACCTGAGGTCAGGAGTTTGATGCCAGCCTGGTCAACATGGTGAAACCCTATCTCTACTAAAAATAAAAAAAAACAGCTGGGCACAGTGGCTCACGCCTGTAATCCGAGCACTTTGGGAGGCTGAGACGGGTGGATCACAAGGTCAGGAGATTGAGACCGTACTGGCTAACACGGTGAAACCCCGTGTTTACTAAAAATACAAAATATTAGCTAAGTGTTGTGGCATGCACCTGTAGTCCCAGCTACTTGGGAGGCTGAGGTAGGAGAATCTCTCGAACCCGGGAGGCAGAGGTTGCAGTGAGCGAAGATCGCGCTGCTGCACTCCAGCTTAGATGACAGAGTGAGACTCCATCTCAAAAAAAAAAAAGAAAAAATTATTCAGATGCAGTGGTGCATGCCTGTAATCCCAACTATTCAGGAGGCTGAGGCAGAAGAGTCACTTGAACCCAGGAGGTGGAGGTTACAGTGAGCCAAGATGTACCACTGCACTTCAGCCTGGCAGACAGAGCGAGACTCCGTTTAAAAAAAAAAGAAATTATAAATTTGCCTTTTTGTTTCATCTTACATATTAATGCAGTTATGCATAACTGGCCGTAATCTGTTTATCTGAGGGGGAAAGAAATGTAAATTATACCATTCTAGCCCATCCACACCTAGAACAGTACTTGGCACATAATAGGTGCTCATAAATACATGCTGAATAAAATAATGAATCAGTAAGTAATTACATAGCCCAGCTGGCATCACATGGAGAAAAGCCAGTAACCTAGGCAGTACCACAAATGTGGCTTGTTCCAGAAGTGTGCCTTCCAGACATGTGCTGCTGCCCACCAGGAAGGCCAGGACAGGTGTTTAACGCAAACCCACTGCCACCATTAGGAGAACTGGAGGTTTATATTGTGATCACTCTAATTTCACTCCATGCTCATACTCAAAACACCTTTCTGCCCCCAAGCTCTCCAATTTTCTCTTTAGCCTTTCTATAGCTACAGGCCACACTTTAAATCCGCCATTGATCTGCTCACTTAAGCCCAAAGCCTGTTTGATTTATTTTTAGTGGGAGAAATGGATTGACACCTTTCAAGTTGGGTCCCTTAATGGCAGACTTTAAACTAGTTCCTTCAAACAGTTTATAATCCAGGATAGTGGTTCTCAAAGTGTAGTCCCTGGCTTAATAGTATCAGCATCCCTTGGGAATGGGTAGGAAATGCCAATTCTTGGCCCCACCCTAGTCCTACTAAACTGGGGCAGGTGGGACCCTCACAAGCCCTCTAAGCTGATTCTGCACACGCAAACCTGAGAACCACTGGTCTAGGATGCAGAAAATATGATTTGAGCATTTTTTTTTTTTTTTTTAAAAGACGGAGTTTCACTCTTATTGCCCAGGCCGGAGTGCAATGGTGCAATCTCGGCTCACCACAACCTCCAGGTTCAAGCAATTCTCCTGCTTCAGTCTCACGATTACAGTAGCTGGGATTACAGGCTTGCACCACCACGCCCAGCTAATTTTGTATTTTAGTAGAGACAGGGTTTTTCCCTGTTGGTCAGGCTGCTCATGAACTACCGACCTCAGGTGATCCGCCCAAATTGGCCTCCCATAGTGCTGGGCTTACAGGCGTGAGTCACCACACCTGGCTACATTACTGATCATTATTTCCGCTGGGTGATATGCACATGAAACTCCTTACTTTTGTATATGTTTAAAATCTTCTATAATTAGAACTTAAAAAAAAATGTCAGCTGGGTGCAGTGGCTCACACCCATAATCCCAGCACTTTGGGAGGCTGAGGCAGGAGGATTCCTTGAACCCAGGAGATGGACCAGCCTGGGTAACATGGCAAATCCCTGTCTCTACAGAAATTCAAAACTACAGGGCATAGTGACATGTGGCTGTAGTCCCAGCTGCTTTTGCTGAGGTGGGAGGATGGCTTGAGCCAAGGAGCTTGAGGCTGCAGTGAACCATGTTCGCACCACTCCAGCTTGAGCAACAAAGTGAGACTGTCCCAAAAAAGAAAGAAATCTCATTGTGATTCAAAAAAAAAAGTGGTATATTTACATTAAAATTGTAGATTAGAGAAGATAACACTAATTTACCATTAAGAATACAAATTGTAAAGGGCACCTGAGGGCGGAACTGACACTTAACGTCTCCCATGTGGCAGGCACTGGGCATGCTGGCATTTTGCCTTGGATGTTGTTTGATATACCAGTTGCCCTCTATGTTTTTTTTCTCTTTTTTTTTTCTGAGATGGAGTCTCACTTTGTTGCCCAGGCTGGAGTAGAGTGGCACCATCTTGCCTTACTGCAGACCCCACCTCCTGGGTTCAAGCAATTACCTGGGATTACAGGTACACACTACCATGCCCAGGTAATATTTGTATTTTTAGTAGAGACGGAGTTTCACCATGTTAACCAGGCTGGTCTCAAACTCCTGACCTGAAGTGATCCACCCGCCTTGGCCTCCCCAAAGTGCTGGGATTACAGGTGTGAGCCACCATGCCCTGCCTGCCCTCTATGTTTGCAGTTAGCTAATTAAATGGTCCCCACCCCTGTTAATTCCTGTATTTCTTAATGGCAAGAACTAATAAAATGTATCATTCTGATTTCACTGTATTTCACCATTTATACAATACATTTAATAGTCACTTATAAATATGTTTGTTGACAGCTTGAAACGAAATTCAAAAGTGATTTAAATGGGAGCATCTTGGCTGAGAGGGAAGAACCCCTCCGATGCCTAATAAAATTCTCTAGCCCACATCTTCTGGAAGCATTGAAATCCTTAGCACCAGCTGGTGAGTGGTCAGCTTACTTTATAAGCTAGAAAAGTTAGCAACATGCCTCTATTCTGTCCTCATATCTGCTGACTAATTACTTCTGAGCTCTCCCATCACCTAGTCTGCTAGCCCGTCATGCTTTATTGTGCATCTTCTGCTTCTGTACTTAATTGGGGGAGGGGGGCCCCTCCATGATCCACCCTCTAATCTCGGCCATTTTTAAACTGACTCCAATCCATCCTTCTGTGACGACTTTTAATTTTCTTTTTTCCTTTTTTTTAATTTAAATTTCAGGTATTGCAGATGCACCCCTTTCTCCACTGCTCACTTGCATACCCAACAAGAGAATGAATTATTTTAAAATTAGAGATAAATAAGACGTGTGTGGTTTCATAAACACAGCTCCTCCTCCATGACATTGCACGTGCACTTCCGTTAATGGCTGGCTGTATAGCTTCTGTCTGTAGACTTGTATTTTAGAGAATCCTTGTTACTGAATTTTTAGAAATGCTCACATAATTGTTGGGACTGATTCATTCCTCCACGATATGCATCCTGTCTCGCATACCCTACTAACTAACAGTTGTGGCGTTTGAGATGACAGGACATACATATATATGGCTCCACACTTGACCTTGAGTGCTTGAATGCTCTGAAATCAAGCATTTGGCACAGTGCTGGAGACTTTGGGGCTTGTGTTCTTTTTCCCACTGCTGTCTCTTCTTGATTCTGGGGAGGTCTGATTCCAGCTGCTGGTTTCCAGGGATTCATTCTTAAGCCTTAGATCCATGGAAAGAAGCAAAAGGAAACTATACTCACTCAAAACTTTTTAGAAGAATCATGAAATTGGTCCATTCAAAGGACAGAGTTGAGTCCACTGTGCTATTGTTGCAAGAGCTTGCGTATTTGGTGAGTCAGTTATATAAAATAATATTCTTGTTGTAAATATGATACTTTTCATAATTATTTTATCATGTATATAACATTCAAACTGACAAATATTATACTGATTTATTAATAAAGATATAAAAACACTGGCACATCAGTTACTTTTGATGAAAGTCTTTCAGTGATCATCACTAAATACCATTTTTTTTTTTAAATTGTTTTCTACTTTTTTATTTATTATTTATTTTTTGAGAGAGAGTCTTGCTCTGTCACCCAAGCTGGAGTGCAGTGGCATGATCATGGCTCAGTGCAGCCTTGCCCTCCCAAGCTCAAGTGATCCTCCCACCTTAGTCTCCCAAATAACTGGAATTACAGACATGCTCCACCATGCCCAGCTAATTTTTTTTTTTTTTGACAGAATCTCTTTCTGTCGCCCAGACTAGAGTGCAATGGAACGATCTCCACCTCCACCTCCCAGGTTCAAGCGATTCTCTTGCCTCAGCCCCTGAGTAGCTGGGATTATAGGTATGCACCGCCATGCCCAGCTAATTTTTGTATTTCTAGTGGAGAAACAGGGTATCACTATGTTGCCTAGGCTGCACTCAGACTCATGGGCTCAAGCGATCCTCTAACCTCAGCCTCCTGAGTAGCTGGGACTTCAAGTATAAGCCACTGTGCTCAGCATTTTGATTGTTTTAAACCTTTGATATTTGACAGGCTTACCAAAATCAAAATTCTCTCTTGAGATGGAGTCTCACTTTGTCGCCCAGGCTGGAGTGCAGTGGTACAATCTCAGTTTAATGCAACTTCCACTTCCCGGGTTTAAGCGATTCCCCTCACGCAGCCTCCCGAGTAGCCAGGATGACAGGTGCTCACCACTAAGCCCGGCTAATTTTTTTTGTTTGTTTCGTTTTATTTGAGACAGAGTCTTGTTCTGTTTCCCAAGCTGGAGTGCAATGGCACAATCTCGGCTCACTGCAACCTCTGCTTCCCAGGTTCAAGCGATTCTCCTGCCCCAGCCTCCTCAGTAGCTGAGATTATAGGCGCACACCACCACGCCCAGCTAATTTTTGTATTTTTAGTAGAGACAGGGTTTCACCACGTTGGCCAGGCTGGTCTCGAACTCCTGACCTTGTGATCTGCCCGCGTTGGCCTCCCAAAGTGCTGGAATTACAGGTGTGAGCCACCACACCTGGCTAAAATTCTATTCTATTTAACTTGATTTTTCTCTTCTTCACGGCCAGCTCACTCTTTGGTTTGTCAAACTTCGAGGGAAATTTCAAACTAGGGAATATTGAGGCACAGAAAATGATGGATGGTACTTGGGCATGCTGGGTGCTTTTGAAAATGGAAAGGCCTAAGAAATAAGCCTCAGAGTCAAGGTCCCTCTAACCTTGTCTTATTCTTGCCTCAACCAAGGGCAGAGAGGAACTCCCTCTGGAATCTCCTTGTCTAAGAAAGCTTCTTACCAAAGGGAACACAAATGCCCTCTATTCTTTCCTTTAAATCTCATTATCTATCAAAGAAATGAAGACTGAAGAATACAGCCACACATGGATGGACTTTTTCATAAGGCCTGCCCTTCAGGCTTATTCAGATTCCAAAGAGAATAATTTACAAGTTAATTTCTGTCTCCCTGGTCCATTTATTCTCTCTAATAATCATTTACTGCTCCTCAAAAGAATTGTATAGGTTCCCTATCTCCTTACACCCCTATGAAAAAGGGTATGTAAGCGTCCATACCCCATTGGGGGTTGGGGGATACAATCACTCTCTGATTCCTCCCCTTCTCCCCAGGCATATTAATAAAGCTTGTATGCCTTTTCTCCTATTAATCCATTTTTCATCAGTTGATTTTCAGTGCATTTTTTAGCACTTTTTAGCAGGATCCAAAAGCTGCCCTGCTCTTCTGGAAGCCACAGTCAAGGGACCCAGGACTTGAGCAGCTGGCAGATGGATTGTACCTTTTGTATGTCCCATTGTATCTATGTTAAAATCATGATGTCACAACATTTAGACACGGCTAATCAAATGTATGCCCCTTCTTATATACAGCTAACTGCTATAGACTAATGCAGTCCTCCTTGTTAAAATGGTCCCTTGTTACTCAAATTTGACCAATCTTGGAAGCAGTGATTTGACTACCCCCTTTGTGGGACATGACACTGTAGAAATAGGTGTTTCTAACTCTAAGGAAAACAGATAACTAGTCTGTAGCCAACCAACGAGTGATTTATCAGCTCTGCTATCTTGGATCTGGATCAAAGGAGGGAAATATGAAATGTGATACACAAAATGGCATCACTTTGGTTCAGAGCTCTAAAATGGAGTTGGGAAGCCATTCTAAGAAGGACTTGCCTGCACAATCTGCAGCTTGGAAAACACAAAAAATATGAACTTGCCATGAAGCTTTGAACTGGGCCAAAATTGCAATAACCACTACATCCTGGAAAACTGAATTTTGCCAGTGTTACAACTCTTAACAGCGACAACCAGTAAACTATGGATGCATGTACTAAGCCATTTATCTCCTCCAGTGATAATTCTTTCAAAACAACTCATGTAATAACCCTCTACTTTCTTTTAAAAACCTCTATTTCTCTCCGTCTTTTCAGAACCCAGTTTGGCTTCTAGGTGAATGTGTGTCTCCCAAATTGCAATTTCTAAGACCCCAATAAAAATCCCTTGTTTGGCCAGATGTGGTAGCTTGTGCCTACAATCCTAGCACTCTTGGAGGCTGAGGCAGGTGGATCCCTTAAGCTCAGGAGGTCAAAACCAGCCTGGCCAACATGGCAAAAGCTGTCTCTTTTCTTTTTTTTTTTAAATTAAAAACAGTGCCTTCTCTCACTGCTTTGCAGTGTGGTCTTTCACCTCTTGGTTGACATAAGCAGTCAGTTCTACAGCAGATACCAGCTGCTTGTGCTCCAGTTCAATCCAACACTAACTACCTGGCGATATCATCAGACCCCCACAGGTTAAGGGCTCAGTCTCACAAAGCTGCCACCCACTTCTGAGGCCAGCTACCAGCCCCAGGTTCTTTAACCTGCGCTTCTGACTAACCAGTTATAAATTGCATTTCCCACAGCCCTCTGTTCGTGTTCAATTAGTTTGCTAGAGCAGCTCACAGAACTCAGGAAATCACATTGACCGATTTCTTATGAGGGATGTTACAAAGGATTCAGATGAAAAGATGCACAGGGCAAGGCTTATGGGAAGGGACATGAAGCTTCCATGCATGCCCTCTCTGAGGGTGCCTCCCTCCAGGAAACTTCATGCATTCAGCTATCGGGAAGCTCTCCAAACCTAGTTCTTTTGGGAATTTATGGAACCTTCATTACATAGGAATGACTGATCAACTTAAGCTTCAGGCCCTGTCTCCTCCCCAGAGGTCGAGGGGGAGGACTGAAAGTCCCAAGCCTCTAATGCTGTCTCATCCTAAAGCTACCTAGGGACCTCTAGTCATCAGTCCACTCATTAGCATACAAAAAGACACATCACTTTGCTGATTCCAGGGATTTTAGGAATTGCATGCCAGGACAAAGACCAAACACTTCACGTTATCACAGTTAGGTTGCAAGGCAAAGGGACTTGGCAGTTGGAGAAATTATCCTGGGTGACTTGAATGGGCCCAATGTCATCACAAGGGGCCTTAAGAATAGAAGAGGCAGAGGGATCACCAGTGAAGAAATCAGAGTGATGTGATGCGATGAAGACTCGACTCACCGTTACTGATTCTGGAGATGGAGGAAGGGGCCACAAGCCAAGGAATGCAGGCAACCTCTAGAAGCTGGGAAAGGCAAGTAAACAGATTCTCCCCTGGAGCCTCCAGAAGGAATACAGCCCTGCTGACACCTTGATCTTAGCCCAGAAGACTCATTTGTTTTGACCTCCAGAACTGTAAGATAATAAATTTGGGTTAAGGCAGTAAGTTTGTGGTAATTTATTAATAGCAAGAGAAAATGAATATAGCTGCTAGTATGTAAAAGTTGGAAGTTTTCACATAAAACTCTAGCCACACCAAAGATGAGTAGCAGCTGCCCCCTTTTAATAAAGGATGTGTTTCACTGCAGTCCTCACCCCTCCCTTTTGTCAACCCGGCCCCTTTATGCCCATTTACATAACCTATCCAGTATAAGTATTTAAGTTTTAGAATCATGTACTGAACTACAGTGTCTCATAAACAGTAATCCTAATTTCAGCAGTTAAAATAGAGGCAAGCAAATCCAGCCTCCCTAATGTGATTAACCCTATCCGTTTTAACAATCCTTTCGTTTGTATAGTGTAGTCTAGGTAAAGTAACTTAATTTCTATAAGCCTAAATGTCTGCACAAAGTGGGGCAACTTACAGTACGTACCCGCTACAGTCGTTTTGAAGACAAAATGAGACACAGCATGAAAAGTGCATCCCCCCAGACTCACCTGGTACCCGGTAAGATCTAGGTAATTAACAACGGCGGAAATTAGGGTACTTCTGCCTCATCTGCCACTGAACATTTGGGTTGTTTCTAATCTTTGGGAAGTAAACGAATTGCCCAACGTATTGCTTTATCTTTTGTCTGACTACTGCCTGAAGTTCCTAGGAAGAATGGTTAGAGGGGCGGGGCAATACCTTTTACCTGCTAGCAGGTGAAATTTCGCCTCCTGGCGGCCTCACCTAACGTCGCCTCCCTCCGGGGCGCGCCCTCTGGGGCCGGCAGGGGGCGCTGCGGCCACCTGGGCCCGCCGGATGCTAATGAGCCTGCGGCCCCGCCTCCTGCCGGAAGTGGCTGCAGCGGGGGCGGGGCCTGCGAGCTGGGTCCGGCGGCCGTGCGGGAGCCATGGCGGCCTCGGAGGCGGCGGCGGCGGCGGGGTCCTCGGCTCTGACGGCGGGTGCCCGGGCTGTCCCGGCGGCCACAAGAGGAGCCGCCGCCGCCGCCGCCTCGGGCCCGTGGGTGCCCCCGGGACCCCGACTGAGGGGCAGCCGGCCGCGACCCGCGGGGGCGACGCAGCAGTCCTCGGCCCCTGCGCTACAGCCGAGGGAGCTGATCCAGCCGTCGGTGAGCGAGCTGTCCCGGGCCGTGCGGACCAACATCCTGTGCACCGTGCGCGGGTGCGGCAAGATCCTGCCCAACAGCCCCGCGCTCAACATGCACCTGGTCAAGAGCCACCGCCT